AGAGCTGCCTCGTGTTGAATTCACTGTGGGAAAAATCTCAGAAATCTACACTAATAGGGAGGTAGGAGGCGTGGGAAGATAACAGGAGACATACAGGCATTGAGATAAAAGACTTAAACAGTGTCGAACTGGACCATCAAGTATTGAACTCTGTCTCCTGAAGACAGAGTGGCCCTTCCTTTCCCGTGGCGTGCGCTGTTTACAAATGTAGATTTTATAACGTGCTACACAAAAATGTTCTTGGTAAGTTCCAGAAAGTTGAAATAGTACAAATCACATTCACAGTGAAATAAAAGCAGAAAATAATTACAAAAACTAGATACTTATGAAAAGAAGCCTGACACCTGGAAGCATTAACTGTGCTCCAGCTGCAACCACACAAAGAGCAAGCCCAGATTTAATTGCAGCACGTAAATTCAAGACCAAATATGAAGTGGAAACACTTAATATTAAAAACCTACAATTGCCGATTAACACTGCGGTCGTAGGAAACCATTGCTGGTCACTAGTAGCTTTTACAAGAAAAAAAAGGTAGTTATGAAATTCATGGGAAGATTTGAAAAAATTTATAGTGCTGTGTAAAATGGAAAAGGTAGCGCACGGCGCACTTCCCTGCATAGGATTTGAAGAGCACGTGAAGACGGAGGGATGGATCAGCAGTTAAGGCTAGCTGCTCTTCTAGAGCATCCGCACGGTGGCTCACAACCATCTACAACTCCATTTTCAGGGTATCTGGTGCCTTCTTCTGGTCTTTGCAGGCATCAGGAATACAAGTGGGACACAGACATGCATGCAGACGGAATACGGGTACACATAAAACTTAGATAGATAGATAGATAGATAGATAGATAGATAGATAGATAATAGATAGATAGATGATAGATAGATGATAGATAGATAGATAGATAGATGATAGGTAGATGATAGATAGATAGATAGATAGATAGATAGATAGATAGATAGATAGATGATAGATAGGTAGATGATAGGTAGATAGATGATAGATAGATAGATGATAGATAGATAGATGATAGGTAGATAGATGATAGATAGATAGATAGATGATAGATAGATAGATGATAGATAGATAGATGATAGATAGATAGATATAGATAGATAGATAGATAGATAGATAGATAGATGATAGATAGGTAGATGATAGGTAGATAGATGATAGATAGATAGATGATAGATAGATAGATAGATGATAGATAGGTAGATGATAGATAGGTAGATGATAGATAGATAGATAGATAGATAGATAGATAGATAGATAGATAGATAGAGAAAAGCACGCTTGAGGCCAAGCTGGAGGTGAGTGAGAGGGGGTGGAAGCCTGTGGGTAGTTTTCTCTTCATTGTTGCTCTGGTATGGATTGGGTAATAGATCAAAATGTCTGTCATCCTGGCTCTTCAGATACGCAAGCAGGAGAACCAGGAGCTGAAGGTCAGATCCAGCTACATTCTTGAGCTTGAGGTCAAGCGTGAGCTATATGAGACCCTATCTCATAAAAATAAAAGAGAGAAAGAAAAAGGGAGGAGAGAAAAGGAGAGGGAGGTGAGGAGAGAGAAGGGAAGGGGGAACGAAGAAGGGGCTTCCATTGAGTAGCTGTCTTGCCTGTATCTGGTCATCTGTGGAGATCATTTCTACACACACACACACACACACACACACACACACACACACGCACGCACGCATGCACACACACACACACACACACATGCACACACGCATACGCACGCACACGCACACACACACGCCCACATACACACACACACACACACACACACACACACGCACGCACGCATGCACACACACACACACACACACATGCACACACGCATACGCACGCACACGCACACACACACGCCCACATACACACACATACACACACACACACACACGCACGCATGCACACACGCACACACACGCGCACACACATGCACACACGCATACGCACGCACACGCACACACACACATGCACACACACGCACACACACATGCACACGCGCGCACACACGCACGCACACACGCACACGCGCACACACGCACGCACGCGCACACACACGCGCACGCGCACACACACGCGCACACACATGCAGGCACACACGGGCACACACATGCACGCACACACGCGCACACACGCACGCACGCGCACACACACGCGCACGCGCACGCACACACGCGCGCACACACATGCAGGCACACACGGGCACACACATGCACGCACACACACGCGCACACACATGCACGCACACACGGGCACACACGCACACACATGCACACATGCACACATTCCTCCCTACTTCCCTCCCCATCTGATCCACTCCCTTCTGTCTCTCATTAGAAAACAAACGGGCTTCTAAGGGATAATAATAATAAAATAAGATATAATGAAGTAAAATACAAATAAGATAATAGAAAAACTAACACACATCAGAATTGGACAAAACAAACAGAAAGAAAAGAGCCCAAGCAGGGAGGGAGGCGGACATCTGCTCGCTCACGAGACTGGAAGGCGTGTATGCAAACAGACGAGTTTCGGGGCCGTGCTGATTCAGAGAGCCTTGTTTTCTTGGTGTCCTCGCCCCCTCTGACTGCCTCCGCCTATACAGGGTTCTCTGAGACCGACCGAGGGGAGGGATTTGAGGGAGATGGAGACATCCACTTAGGGCTGGGGGCTCCTCGGTTTTTCTCTCCCATTCTCTGCAAATGTCTGGCTGTGAGTCTCTGTGTTTGATCCCATCTGTGGCTGGAGAAAGCTTCTCTGAGGATGGCTGAGTAGAACAGGATATCCGTAGGAGTCATTTTTATCGTTACTCTTATTTTAGACCAGTAGCTTTTGGTTTTACCCTGTGCCCCCAGGCTAGCTATCCTCAGGTTCTTAGTCACCCAAGCAGTGTTGCGTGTAGATTCCATCTCGTGGAGTAGGCCTTAAGTCAAATCAGACATTGGTGCGTCACCATCACCCTAGTATATCGTGCAGGCAGGACACCATGGTGGATCAGAGCGTCTGTAGTGGCTGGGGGGGCG